GGACAATCACTGCCCTGCTCCTGCTGCCCACACTATTCCTGATCCAGGCCAGGTGCCATTGGCCTTCTTGGCCACCTGGGCATACTCTGGCCCTGTTCACTCCCAGCCCTCTGGTCAGCAGGAACACTGACCCATGACTGGGCTGACGCGATGCTTGGGCAATTCTAACAACACCTCCAGCTGAGCTGCTCATCCCTGCAGCACCAAAACCACATCAGATGTTACCCCTGAGCCCTGTTATTTGCTTTCCTTCCAGTAAATCCTCAACACACATCTTTATACAAAGGCAGGGCTATATCCCTGAGACCCTGAGGTAACAGAAAATGCAGTTCTGGTTGGGACAACACCTAATTAAAAAGTGCTGCCACTTCTTCCCGTAGATAAAAGGATAATCTTGGCCTCAAGACATTTTTTTTTCCTGGCAGATTTGGATTTCCAGAGACTGAAAATCTTGTAGTCAATCTCTCCATATGTACCCTCTTTAAAGAGAACTGAAATAGATGGCAGAACTGAAAAATGAGACTGACATAGTAAATCACAATGATTTATGAGCATTTAGGGATATGGGAAAATTTACTTGTTCCCATTTATTTAAAAATAAATATATTACTTATTTATAGTCTTCATTCTCGTGCAGCATAGAGTGCTTTGGTGCTGTCTTGCCAAATTGAAGTCATTGGATTTTACCAATTATAGGGTCAAATTCCTGTATCCCTTGCATGCCTGTATATGCAGTTTCAGATGGATGCAGTACAGACTTTAGATATTAAAACCCTATTCTATTAGTCATCCTAATACATCCAGCCAATACAAAATTAATCACCGATTTTTCCATGTCTTTTCCTAGTTTAAATGTTCAAATGAATGATTTATGCTATGTATACAACAGTAACTAAATGTTTACTGATAATTAGCCTGAATCTTGTATTTTTAAATTTCATCTATTTTCTTTCATTTTACTTAATGGGTTGCACTTTAGTTCCCTACCAGATGCTGTAGGGCTCCCTCAGCTTATCTACTTCAATTGTATATCAATCCTGAATATTTAAGCCTGTTTTAGAAGTGCACAAAAGCATGTGGCAAATTTGGGAACGGGATAACCAGGAAGCACAATAAACACTGTCAATATTCCTTTTTTATTTTTTTTTCCCTGATAATTTTAGTCTCTGAAACTGTAAACACATAGTATCAAACCTTGGGATCCAAACCTTAGGGAGCTTAGTAACTCCACCCCATTCCTCAAGAGACTGCTAATTAAGATAATCAGTAACAATTTCATGTTTGGGTTGTTTGTTTTGTTTTTTTTTTTTAACATCTTGCTGTTTAAATCATAACTTTTAATCTCCCTGCCAGTTCTCTGTTCTTTTGTAACTTCCCTAGTTATTTTTCTCCGAACAAGATGAAACCGAAATCAGTATTTCAAACGTGATCACAGAAGTTGGCCAGGAGTACCACAATTTGTTGTTTTCAGACTGCTTTTGCACTATTTCATTCCTCTCTGGAGTCTGCATGTCAGAATTTATGTTAATTGATACTAATCAGCTTCCTTCCTTTTTTTCCTAAATGACTTATCAGTTTCCTTCTTTTGAAATAATTACAAAACTAGCAAAGGGTACATGGCTGGGAGTACAAAATTCTATGCAAAGCTATTTATCAATTAAACAAATGAGTCTGAACTACAGAAGTCCACAGAAAGTCTGCAGGAAAACAGTCAGACTTAAAAAAACAGCAAAAGAACATTTAAATTGCCAAAAAAAACCCCCCACAAACCTTGGACAGAAACATAATTTGGGATTATGGACATTTACTGTAAAGAGAAAACACCACAGAGTGTGTTAATACAAAAGGAAGAAAACAATAAAGACTTTATTAAAATTCTTGAGATAAAGAAGTTTCAGGGATATCAGAATCCTGAGCATGGCCTTCTCCCTGCAAAGTCTGTTTTGTGTCACTTAGCTGAGAAAGAAAAATGAATTTACTTTGTTTTAATTAAATAATCTACAGGCATTTAGAACCATTATTAATTTATGTTTGGCTGAAAGTAACAGTGAAATTTTGAAACCTATGAGAACAAATTAAAGTTATAAAGTTCATGTATTTGCATAATTACTTTGATTTATGGGAATAAACCCAGCATTTTTCCCCCCGGTCACACCGCTAGGAAGCTACTTACCTATTGCACAGTTCATTATTGTTTTTTTTTTTTCTTTATTTGGTGTCTGATTTTGCAAAAATGGATGTGGCACAAAAAATAACAAGACACATGAACAGTAATGCCAGACTATTTTACTAGATGTAGCAGCAAAAGAACTAAAAGAAATAATTTTATAGAGGATCCTGTGAATGTTTATTTGCCAGCTTGACAAAAAACAAAAAAATGAATAAAATGATAAAAGAATCTGCATCATTGACTAGTAATAAAAATTCTTGGGGGTTTTAAATTACTTTCATGTCCTGAACTTTGTGATGTATTAATACTAGGCCTGTTGATGATGCTCAGCCCTGCTTGAAACTCTCTGTGCTGCAAATGTTCCTTTAAACAGCATCCAGTCAGATAACAACTACCTTTAGCTCATTCTAGTTCCCCTAAATCCTGCTCAGCCTTTAAACATGATTTACTTTACCCTTCTCTGACAGCATCTATACTGGGAAGATGTACTAATGTGTCTTTGCATCTTCTCCACATGACTCGTCCTGTTTGTTTTGGCTGTCACGGAATGAAACACTTTAGCACTGTTGTATTTTGTGTTCTCATCACATCGAGTTTAAAGCCTCGTGGATGCTGATTCACATCTTGGAACCTGCACTGTGTGAACAGCTGGCACGGCTTGCCCTGGTAATTCCCCTGTCCTCTGGCAGCTGGTTCCTCATCCCATGGAAGTTGGTGGAAAATCCTTCACTGATTTCAGTACAACCAGAACTTGTTTCTGACCAGAACACAATTAATATGGGGTGGAAAAAAATCCAAATAACTTAAATGCACAAAACACCACATCAGTTTTGACACAGCCCTCTGATGCACAGATAGAATCAGCCAGGTTGGAAAGGACCTCTGAGATCATCGAGTCCAACCCTTGATCCAATACCACCATCGTTAAATAGGTCACTAATGAAGTATTTAACTTCTCTGTACAACTATTTGGAAAAAAACCAACAGAGCCACCTGAATTTGGAAAGTTCCACCTGCTGAACTGTAATGCAGCAGTGCAAGCACAATTTATCATTTTATAAGCAATGCAGAGGAACAGGATATTTCCCAATAACTGGTGTTTATACGTCGCATTACATGTCATGTCACAAATGCACATCCCCAAATATTTTTGTTTACAAGCTGCCACATGGAGAAGCCAACTGGCATGTTGTTTAGATACTGATTTCTGACACGTGCTTTGTATACAGAAAACCCTGATTTATGAAATGTGAGATAGAAACTTGTCACGTTTTTTCAACATATACAAAAATAACTGACAGCACATAAATCACGACAACATCCACAATACATTCCCAAAAGCTTTGGGCTGCTTAGTTTCAAAATTTGCTGTGATTTTGCAAAATACTAATTTTTTAGTTGATTTTGGATTAAATTTCACATAATTTATGCAAAACAATAATATGCTGGATGCTTTATGGCCAAAAAAAAGGCTGATAATCCAATTCTGATGCAGTAAGATTGTGAGTGAAATATGACAGTGAGGAGACAGAGAGGAAGGGTAAAAGCTACAGCCCTTCAATCCACAACTCAGAAACCATATGTGCATCTTGTCAACTCGGATGAAGTATTTTAAAACATATTAAATGTGGGCTAATACAGCGGCTAAAGTTTGTGCAACTTGTCCTCAATTGACCTGGGTGGAGCTATGCTAATTTACAGTGGAAATGGTAGAGAATTTTTTATAAAGACAAGACTACTCTTATTCTGTATTAAATAACTGTAAATCCTTTAAATAGGAGGTTTTCTCAAGTTAAAAATTTCCAAGAATAAGTATCAAAACTTTTTTTTTCTCCTTTGTTTTGTTCTTCTTTTACTCTTTCCTCCTCTTACCCCAATCCTTTTCTTTCCCCCTCTCCTGATTTGAGTCAGGAAAAAAAAAGGACAAATAAGGATGATAAAGATAAATACGGTAAGAGTTTGTAATTTCTTAGTTTCACTGAAGGTAAATGAAAATGATAAAACACAGAATCTCCCACAATAATTTGTTAGGTTGTCTTTCCACTAAAAATGGCAACAGAATAAAAGGTTGATGTAGATGAGGTAAGGTCTAACAATCTAAGACGGCGTCTTACACATTTTGTTTTGCAATTTCTAAAAGTGACTTAGAACACAGGAAACTCAGAGTAAAATTCATCAGCTGGATCTAATGGCTTTGTCTGTCTGAAAAGGGAAAACATCTCCTGCATCAGGGGGAGCACAGGAAAAAAGCCTCTGGAAGAAGCAGCTTGACAGAGCCCTGAGAGTGGCATTAACCACCAAGGAAAGGTAAGTGCCAATGAGACGTGGTTGGCTAATTACACAGGGACAAAGTAAAGAAGAATTTGAAAGCTGAGAATGCCCATGTTGCAAATCCCTTCCTTTAGGTGCTGAATAATCTTTAAAGTTGCCAGTCTTCCCCCATGACCTGGTCTTGCTTGTTCCTGCAAAATCACGGCTTCTGTTGCCGTCGTTGCCAACAAAAGCAATCAGCAGGGTAACAAATTTACTGTTTGTTAATTACACATTAAAATGCATGAAAAAAAATCACATATTTCCTTTACAAGAACTCACAGTTATAACTTAAATTTTACGTGTAAATCAGGATGTGACACAAATTATGCCAGATGAAACACGATGTAGCCTCAGACTGTCAGAATCCAACAGCACAAGCAGACAATACCTGGGCTTTGGGGATGGTCATCACCAGCACTACACAGAATGCTCTGACATTTTCCTACAGAAACAGGACTGATTTGTAATGGATAAATAAATGGACGGAGAAAACTGAAGCAGAATTGGAGGATTTTGGTTTTTTCTGGGCACAGCACTGCAGTGCTGAGAACTCCCCTGGCTTTTAAAGATCATTCCAAGTAAAGCATTTGGTGTATGATCCACTGTGCCCCATGAGCCTATTCTGTAAGAAGGGTGACCCTAAGCCCTCCTCCCCTTTTCTCCAGGCATTTCATCCCTCTGCATGGAGTTCCTAACGCTTCCTGCATGTCTGGGGCCATCCTGCCATTTGCAGGTACTTGCTCTTCACTGATGGTTTCTGGCAAGAATTTCTTTTCCTGTGTTTTTGTCACAAGAGAACAACCCACGTTCTGAAGCCAACTACTCTGCCTGCACAAATGCTAAGTAGCTTTTCTAGCATCCAGCAGGATATTTCACTGCAGTAAATACATTATTTTCCCAATAAATTACTCTGGAAACTAAGAGTTCTCTCCCTGAATGATATAACCGTTGCTGACAGATTATCTGACAGCCTAGATGTCAAAATATTTTTTTCAGAGTGCATTTGCAAAATCTTCCAAATGTTAGAAGTGACTGTCAGGATTTTGAGCTTGGATGAAGTTCACTTAATTTCAGAAAACAAATGGATTTTTATACATTATATTCAGTTGCTTCGTTATTGACGTACAAATTGAAATAAAGTGAGGGCAAAAACCCACAAGAAAAACACAGACATTATCTGCCTTCTTCTAAATCAAAACACTTTCCATTAAAACGATGGGTTACCTATGGATAGGACTGAGCAGTGGACTGGAGACAGGTCAAGTGGCAATGAAGTGCCTGTTGTGGGGGATGACACAATTTCTCCCTCTGCTTAGAAAAATGGTAGGACGTGCTTTGCATCAATTTTACAGTGTGACCAGGAAGAATCCTGGAAAAACACACTTGTGGAGCACACACACCTCCCCTTAAAAGAGTTAGAAATCCAAAGGCTGAGCAGAGGACGGTGCAGTGATTTCCATTACAAGGCTGTGGAGGACGGCCAAGAAAGGACAAAAAGAACAAGAGCCATCTGAGAGCGTGTAAATAGGTTCAGCTGAAAAGTTATTTTTACAATATTGTTATTGATGTGAAAAAATAAACAATGGAACTTTCAGGCATCAGTCTGGGATACAGGCTGGCTGGTTACCTCTATTCCCACACGCTTCTCATACGCACAGGAATGAAAGTCTGCCCCAACAACCTGCTGGAGGACTATTCTATCCAGAGTTTCTTTAAATGGAAAAAAGAGTTGTTCTTGTTTTGTTCAAGGATTGTGCCCAAAACTATCATATGCAAAATCACAGGAAAGCAAATGGTGGTGCTGAGAGAAAGACTTTGAGAAACTTCTCGTCCGCCACCTGCCCTGCTTCTCCCTGCACTAACTGTTGCAGGTAATGCCTGTCTTTTCCTCAGGAATTTGAGGCTATGCCACGCCAGCAGCACCCAAGCTTGCTGCTATGGCAAAAGCTGACTTTGTGCTGGGATGACTCCCCCGGTACATCCAGGAGTTTGTCTGTACATGTGCCACAGATTTTGGATCCAAATTTTGAACGCGCGTTGTGTCGCGTGATGAGGATGATTAGGGAAGGAGACGCTCAGAGCACACTGCTGTTGTGGGAACTATCCGTGCAGGTGGTTGTTATTCCCTGGCTGGATCACAGGATACAGGGTGGCTGGGAGGGGGCCAAATGAAGTGCTCTCGTAGGTCTCAGTCTCCTCCTGAGGAAAAAGTAATAGATTTTCCCGAAAAGAAGTCATGAGGAAATACGACAGGAAGCCTTTAAATGATCTGCTTAAGAGATAAGACAAAACATTGCTGTGTATCTCTTCATGATTAAATATCTTTTGTAATTGTTGGACCCTGTCCTAATTAGCTTTGATACATCAGAGGGCTGCTTTGTGAGCTGTTTGGTTAAGACACATTGTTCTGTCCTGCTTCCTCTCAGATGTTCTACGGATAACATTATTAGGCCTACCTTTTTGTTCATTCACTACAGTGTTTCTGTGCTAGTAGGACATCACACACATGCTCTTAATTTGATTCAGTCTCTGAACAAACTGTCCAACCTGAAAAATGAGATTTATCTCCTTCTATTTCAGCACTTGTTCATCCACTGATTGCCTGAAAGTTTTGACTGGTTCATTAAAGCATGGGTGTATTTGAATTCGCATCTCCCTTTCTTGTAACGCTTTTAAAGTATCCAGCACTTTACTATAAGTTGTCCAACTAATTCTACTGATAAACAAACAAACCAATTAACTTATTCCATTCTAATATTTTCAGACTCTGTATCTTCACTAGGAAGTCCACAATATGGATCCTATTTTCATCTTGAACCTCTCGGTTCTTTGCAATTAACACCAAGATCCAAAATGCTGCCTCCTGCACCTTTCACAGCAAGAAGTTATTTATAGAACCCGATGGTTTAGATCAAGCAAAACTTTGCTGAAGTTGGAGGATGCAGTTACACCAAAATCTGAGGATAAAAGTGAGAAGCAGTTGCACTTCTTGGAGGAATCAGAACCTGTCACACACCGTAGCTCACAGGGCAAACCAGACGATGGATGCAAATGGATTTTGCTGGGACCTGAGCACTGACACGGCCCAAGGTAACGAGCTGTGTGTTTTTCAGAGGAGGTGTATCTTTGAGCAGAAAAAGAGGCTACAAAATTGAAACAGCCAGAAAAGTGATGGAGCGTTTTACTAGAAAACATTTGGAACTCTGAACAGAAACTCTCCTGATTTCCTCCTGTATTTCAAACCAGCTCAGTTGTTTCTGCACAGGAGTATGGTGCTGTGGGCTCGGTGAAGAAATATCTTTGCCGTGAAGAAACACGTTCAATAAATTTAATTTACTAAAGAAACCTATCTGCAAGACCATGTAACTGTTTACATCAAAAGAAGTAACAACGTGTTAGAAATAATCAGAAATTTCCACAAAGCAGAACTTCATTTATCTCTGAAATAAAAAGTTAACCAGTTTCCACACATTGCAACAAATAAGCCTGTACACTTCCATTTCCTCAGTATATGCCTGGTTTCATTAAATTTTACTGAGCTAAATCTTATGTGTTCCTCATCAATATAAATTTGGCCAATCTGCAGAATCTGAAATGCTCTCCCTGATGTAATTTTACTAGTTACACTGAAGTCATTAGCTGGTATTATTCTTCCATTTTAAATACCCACAGGCGTGATTCTAATTTCGAGTACACCAGTTAAGCTTCTAATACAAACAATTACATGTTCATGGGGAAAAACTCTCTGAATGTTAATGTACAACAGGAATCACAGGGCACATATTAAGGCTGCAGAGAAAGGAGATAGTAGTTAAAAGTTCAATTTCTAACCTTTAACCTTCATGGTCTTTATTGTTTATTCATCGTTACTTTAAATACTTTCCTGAATTGACATCTATGATTCCTATGATTTCATAATGGAAACATTTCAAAGCTGAGTTTAAGAGGAAATAGTTAGCTCAAGAAGATAATCTTAATACTTCTAAACTTAAAAATTAATATACAAGACACAAGTTCTTTCCTAAAAGGTTCTGCAAATAATTACATGATTTGTAAAACACAGTAAAAAAAAAAAAAAAAAAGAAAAAAAAAGAAAAAAAAAGTGTATGAGCAGTAATCAGATGAAAAAACCTGTTAAAAGTTTTCTTTAGAATGAAAGAGTGTTGATTATTTTCCTGTATAATCTACAAATTTTATCATTTGGTAGATGCTGTTTCCTTTTTAGCCTTCCCAGCTGTCCAGAACTTGCTCCTTTTAGACCAGTAGGAAAGAAATGCGCACATTTCCTTGTGTAAATAGTAAGCCAGCAAGTATTATATGGAAAAATGAGTTATTCCTCCTTGTGTTTGGATCAGGGTTTTGATTCCCAGCAACAGCTGCTCCATCAGTGCAGGAACAGCACAAAAAGAGAGACCGTGATAAAGACCAGCAGCAATTTGTCCAACTCTTCCAACTTAAATCTGACTAACAGGCAACCAAATGAACAATTACCCAGAGGTAGTAAGGAGTTAGAAGGAGGTCATTTCTGTGGCTCATGAGCTTTTGCAGGTACCAGGCTTTTGCAATTTTTAACTTGCTTTTTATTACTGTGATAGCAATCTGCAATCAACCTCACAAGATTCAATCATCTTACTGTGCTGGGCAGTAGTGCACCAGCTCCTGAGGCACCGCTAGGAATGGGTTGGACATCCTCAAAAAAGAATCTCAGGATTCCTCACAGCAGCTGCCAGCAATGATGCAAGATTTATAACAAGACAAGTTTTAACTGAATTCCATATGCTTCTCAATAATACAATCGCTGTACCACCCGTTCTGGCATTTAATTTCATCTCAAAATGATGTTATCCCTAAATATTTTTCAGTGTGCCACACACTATGGCATGGGAATAATGACGATAAAAGTTGTCTGGAGGTTTCAGCTCCCCTCTGGAAGTCTGTGGGGTTTTATTTGTTGTGGGGGAATTTGTTTGTTTGGGAGTTTTTTTGGTGATGTTTGGTTTGTGGTGTTTTTTTTCCAGTTTGCTTTTGTGTTTTCTGTTGGTTTTTTTTTTGGCAGGGGGGAGGGAGGGGAGCTGGTGGTCTTTGTTTTTAGCTGAGGTCATCTCAATGACTTCGCCTCATTTTCCAGCATGGCACTGAAACAGTTAAATCAGTGTTGCTGAGGGATGGCAGAGGGTTGGTAACAGTGGCTGGAAAGGGACTGCTAGAGGCAGGGGTTGCTTTTCCCAAATTCACATCACGGGACCCCGTTCTGAGGCGCCGTCATTTTGGTCACCCAGCTGTGTAATTTTTGACAAAGTGCTGACACGGTCATTTGTTTGGCTAAGACTGGGGAAAACACCCAAACCCCACGTGACTGTTTCTGCTTTTTGCCAGACACTTTGTCAGTTTAACAGAACATTCGTGTTCTACACAACCAGTGGAAAACTACGACAGCCACAGAAGGAAGAGCTGGAGTACTGGACTGGTCAAGAACTGGCTACAGAAAAGGCCTCTGTACAACCAGTGGCCAAATCCACCTCGTGGAAAGCCTTGGCTCTTTTCTCTCCTCACCACCTTGTTCACTCAATCACAGGATGGGTCAGGCTGGAAGGGACCACAGAGGGTCACCTGGTCCCACCTCCCTGCTCAGGCAGGGCCATCCCAGAGCACACGGCACAGGACTGTGTCCAGATGGCTCCAGAATATCCTCAGTGAGACCCATCCCACACCCTTTCTGGGCAGTCTGTTCAGTGCTCAGTCACTGCACAGGAAAGTTCTTCCCGACGTTCAGGTGGAACTTCTGGGCATCAGTTTGTTCCCACTGCCCCTCGTTCTATTGCTGGGCACCACCAGCTCCTGATGGATTCTCCCTTTCTTTCATGCTGCCAACCCACCCACCCATGGCAGGGGTTTGAAACCAAACCCCTCCACCTGGGAGACAGAAACTGCAATCCTCCTGCTTCAGTGTCCCATGCTTTCTTTGCAGACCACTGACAGAAAGCACTTACATTGCAAAACTAATAACCCTAAATAGATTTGAAAAAAACCCAGTTGATTCATAAGAGAGGCTTAACAGTAGCTATGTAAGACTTGTTCTTAACCAAGGATACACATTGCATTCAGTCATGTTTTCAGAGAGACAGTGCAGGATGCCTCCATTAACATGGGATGATGTAACAGAAACCAGGAACAACGCTGAATTTGCAAGACAACCTGAGTCTTGTCTGATTTCCTGAGTAAAATTCCAATAAACATTCAAACTTTGCAAGATTATCTGAACTAATCCATTAAAAATGGAACTTGACCTTTACTAAGCAGAAAGTCTCTTCAGAAGGTATTCCAGAACCTGCAGGTTTGGCTTCTTGGCACGGTGGGATGATGCATTAGAAATGTGCCTGCACTGAAGGGATATGAAATAAAAACAAAACTAAGCACTTAATTAAAAAAAGAACCAATGACATAATTGACAACAGTATTTAAATTTTAAAATAACTCATTTGTCCTCCTTTTTGTACAGGGAACAACTACAACCTGAGCAGGACCAGTGTAAATTTCTTAAGATTATGCACCACACATTTTTGTATAACTACCCTTGGAATGAAAAAATGTGTCCAAGTACTGTCAAAACTTTTGATGTTTTGAAAATCAAGCCAATTGCATCGTTACTTTCATGGTTTCTAGACCTCCAGTAACGTGGATCCCTATATGTAAGCCTGTGAATTCAACAGGGGATGTGGACTTTTTCGACTGAGAGGAAGGAATATTAGAGGGACTTTCTTCTCACTGATATTAAGAAGCCACTGGACAAGCATTTCGTTGTCGGAAGACTTAAATCCACAACTCAGTGAAATTTTGTGTATTCAGTACTGGCAGAAAAGCACCAATTTAAGCAAATCAGGGCTTTGGAAAACATTGCCCATTCTCAGTAAAGCTTCCCTTTGCTGCTCCTTCTCACAAGAGCATTTTGTCCCATTGAGACCAATGGCAATTTCCTTCCTCTCACTTGGCTTTCAGTTTGGGATTATATATCCAAGGAGAGAAACACCGTGTTTTAACTTTCCTCACAAGTGTAAACCACCACAGGGCTTATTACAGCCAAAAAACCAAACCAAAACACCACTAGAGACGAGCTCACGAACTAACTTGAGTAGTACTGACTCTATTTATATAAATACACAACTACAAACATTCAAACAGAAACCAAACTACACCTTGAGAAATTTTAAGGTGGGAAATTCAACCATCCCTGTGGATTTCCTGTTTCACAGGTTCCCAAGTGAAGTGCAGCTGGTGGGTGGAGAAAGCAAGGGGAAAGGCAGGGATGGTTTTTGGTTTTATCACCGTCAAGCTGATGGTAGAAACCACTTGTCTTCTTCACACCATCCTGGTGTGCTCAGCTCTGTGATTGAGCTCTTACTGACAGTGGAGCTCAAACACTAGAGAAGTTCTAAACATAATCTATCTCTTGATAATAGTAATTTACATTAAAAAAGTGAAAAATTCAAGCATCATGTTTTATTTTATTGGAAATGCCCCTCACTCACCCATATCTCTGAGGGAATCCTGAGCTGTGTTTAGAGGATGATGGAGAACTGTCCTCGTCTGTGTTTAATAAGATGGAACTTCTTGAGCCACTGCCTTAACCCTGACAAACCCAATGTCCCAAGGTCACTTCTGCTATTTGCACCTTTGAAGTCTCATCTGTGCACAATTACAAGATTTAATACCAACCATTACTTGTGCAAAGTACCCGATTTTCAAAGTGGCTGCTCAGGCAGATGTTGTAGGAAATGGACAAGAGAGAGAGAGACAACTACCAAAATAGGTTTTCAGATTGGTTAGTGAAGGTTTTATCCATTTAGACACCCACAAGAGTGTTAACAAAAAGCAACATATACAATGGATGAGGCTTTTAAAATAAATAATTCTCAGATCCTTTCTTGAAAAGATTTTTTTATGACACCACTAAATTAAATCCAGTGAGAGCACGTGACACCCTCCGCTCTAGGAGAAAAACAAAAATATCAGATAATAATGTGCTTTGAATAATATTGCATTCTGTCCCAGGATTTACAGAAGTTAACAAGATATCCGCTCACCTAGTTCACTGAGCACCACAAATGGCTATTTTCAAGTGCTTACACAGAAATCCTTTGCTCAGAGCTGGTTTACAAACGTGATTTACTTGTTTTTACCTGCAAGCCAGAAAACCAGTTGGCTACAAAGGTATCAGCCCAGCATTTTAAGTCAGTGCATAAAAGACCACAATAGAAACACAAAGCTGGGGCTTTTTTTTTTTCCCCTCCTTGACAGCACTGGTCAAGTTCTATAAAGTTACAATTGTCGATCTGAAGTTAATACAAACATAACATTTTATTTTCAGCTTCTCAACAGACACATTAAGTTCCTGCATAGTGATGAACCCAAAAAATCCCACTTTCTCTGTAGTTTTGTAAGAGTAGAGATCCTTGTTTGTGATCCTCTTCTGTCAAACAGTGACTTCTTTGAAAGGTGGCAGGTCATGAGCTACCACATCCAGTTCCTAGAGGAAGGGCAGACACCTACTTACCTTCCAAGACTATTCCCAAAATAAAAACATTCCCACGTTTGGAATATGCACCCAAGGATGCAGTCAGAGCTGCCAGGGGACAGGTAGGACTGAAAATATAATTAAAAATCTACTGACAGAAGCAGCATAAAGGAACCATTTCCTGGACAAGTATAATTTTTGCATTATTTATTTCTCCAGCTCTGCAGAAACTGTCCGTATTACAGATCTATAGAGGGAAAAAAATATGAGAGTGGTAGCTTTTCTAAAAGCTCCTTCTGTTGGTCAAACTTCAGCAAACAGGTCAGTGGGCTCATGCTGACATGCAGAAAACTGACCAGTTTAAAATACAGGTAGGATCATGTAAGCAAGATTATATACATGTACATATGATTCAAGGTTTTCCATGTTGCTGCACAGTGATGGACAACTGGTGCTTACCTGGTAACTGCAGGCACTTCTCATGACCATGAATTACCACTGAAATTCCAGATGAATTCCAGTATTAAGCCTTCCAGAGACAATCCAGGTTTTAAAGTCACGTTTACCAAGGGGAATAGAGGGCAATACACAAAAATGACTGCACGATTCAAGCAAGACAATACTAATTAAGGTCTATAACTAAAGCATTTAGTAGTGTTTTTTAGTAGTATTAAAAGCTAGTTTTTTAATGCTTTATGAAAGATAAATATCCTTTTTTCTTTATAGTAACCCATTCCCTAGATCAGTTCACTTTTACTCCCCTCACTACTCAAAGTTAGTAAAGTATTTCTGAGACTGAAGAGCAATTTTTTCATCAAAAAGGATAAACAGTATCAGAATGACTTTTTTCCCCAATATTTTCTATTTTCAATAAAAACTCTTCTACAAATGCACTGATTTTCTTTATTGTCAGCAACAGAATTTTCCTTTTAGTGCATTTTGGGGGAAAAAAATAAATCAAGCCAAAACAAACCCCTTGGGTTTTATATCAGTTTTCCCCACTTTCTTGACCACAAAACACTGTCAAAATATAACACAGATGAATCATCAGAACTTTAATGAGGGCAATACAAAGAAAATGTGATTTGCAGATCATTTTATTGTGAACTCCTGGACAATATAGGAGCTACTACTAAAATACAAAAATGAAGTACTGTGGGCTGTTTTGTTCCCAAGTTCAAGAACAAAAGTTTAGTAATTCAAGATTTTCTGCTTTTACCTTGAAGTAAATGAAGAATAGAGCAGTCAGAATAACAGATACAGAAACAAACCATGTGTTAATAAAAGTGGGCGGTTAAATGAAGGGGCTGGTTTCTCCCTGACTGACCTATTGTCAGGTTGTACTTTAAGCTGCTTTCCTTTAAATGTCTGATACTCATATATTTGGGGCAGCCTGACTAAAATTTGGCAAGATAGCAAAAATGCAAGCATTAGATTTACGTTTTCTAAGACACAAAATGGCACCCTGTGGGCTCTCCTGGTTTGCCTGCCTTTGCTGTTTTTCAGTTTGTGCACCTTGTCACACACCCCCAAGACTGTTGTCCTGTCTCATTTCTCCTGGGCTACTGCAAAAGCATCTGCCTCATAGTCTGAGGTCCTCTGAGCCATTATGAGCTTGATGTTGGCTGCACACCTCAGAATCTTGTTTGAACAGCAGTGTCAGCAGAGATGTGCGAGGGGGATGACCACTGCCCTCACTTCCTCAGCAGCTCATGGCTTGCAGCTGCCAGGAACTTCAAAAAGCAGGAATGAAAGCCCAGTTGGAACTGAAATGCCCAACTTCATGCACCTTAGGTTTTCTAAGGGGAAAAATGACCAATCTTGCTGTAGGTGACTACCTAGTAAGTCTCAGACTATAGAATGCCATAAGATTTCAACTGTACCCAGCAGGGACTGATCTGCTTCAAATTTGCTATCTGACTTTGAAGTTACACTAAATATGTTAATAAATAATCAATAGGTTCTCTAAATCCTTATTCTTGGAAATAAAGCACCTGAGAATGCACCAGATGGAGAGGTCAGACAGTAAGAGAAACTGAGTCATCCTCTCAAGCCAGAAAACCCTCATGAAGCAAGTCTGGCTTTTCAATACACTTGGCATGACCACAGAAATGTTGCACTGAACCTCTGCCCTTTGTTAAAGCAGAGACAGAGAAAATAAAGCCAATTTCTCCAGGAAAACATGTGGTTTTGAGAAAGCAGGTTGGTGGTACCTGCCTTGGTGACAGTGGTAAACTACACATCGGATTTCTGGAGTTGATGGCAGTGAAATGTTAATACTGATGTGGGAGCAAAAAGAAAAGCAGACCTGAAGCAGGTAATCCTTTCCCTATTCCATGCTACACAAAGTTCTATTCCTGGGATTGTGTCCCTATATGTGCTCAGGCTCGTCCTATTTGCCAGTGAACCCAAATGCTTGAGATCCCACAGCTACCTTGGGCATCAGTGAGATGACAGCTTGAATCCCACTGTTGGACCAGAGTCTTCCTTCCAAAATCAGGTTCTTCTGGCAGCGGCTTCAGGAGTTGTTTTCAGCTCAGCAAGGCATCAGGTGACGCGTATTCATTTACAAGGAGAAATCTAAAACACAACTTCAGCTGTTTCTAACATTACTTTCAAAAAGTGGCACATTAACTTCAAATCTCAATTCCAAGCTGCAGAGATTCCCAGAGTGCCAAACCCCTTCCTGGAACACTGAGGTCTCTCTGGCACGAACCAGCAACAAGAGATTGGGCAGCTCTTGCAGCATGACAAGGCAACGCTCAACAACGTACAGGGGTACACAGAGAAACTGCATGAACAATTAATGGGAGTGGAAACACACAGGAAAGGGGGATCCAAAGAGTGGTGTTCAGTCACAGACTTTGATCAGTCCACAGCTTCACACAGAAGATAACAAAGTGGTTCTGGAGACTCACAGGTAACTTCCAAATTTACACTAAACTAAAACCTAATGAGTTAGCTAATACTTCAGAGAATCACAGAATGGTTTGGGTTGGAAGGCACCTTAAAGATCATCCAATTCCAACTCCCCATGCCATAGGCAGGGACACCTTCCACTTAGACCAGTGCTCAGAGCTCCATCCAACCTGGCCTTGAACATTTGTAGGGATGGGAAATCCACATCTTCTTTAGGCAGCCTGTGCCAGTGCCTCACCATGCTCACAATAAAGAATTCCTTTCCAGTATCTAATTTAAACCCAGGGCATATCCCAGCACTGGAGGTATCACACTTGTCTGAAACAGTCTCTCTCCTGTCATACAAGCCATCAGGTATCAGTGCCAACTCCAAAATTGCCATGTGACTGTTTGCAGGCACCTTCAAGTGTGCATGCTCAAGCTTTTCTCGTTGTTATGATTAAAGACTCTGAGCCTTGGATGTATCTTGAAGAGCTGAAACAATACCCAGGCCTTTGTGGCACCTCCCAAGTCATCCAAGCAGTAGATCAAATAAAGCAAAAAAAGGAATTTGGAAATTCAATTCTGGGAGGATGTGGGGGGTTAACAGTGGCACTGACAGTTCTAGAGAACTTCTGACTTCAGGTGCATGTGAGTTTATCTCTGCACTTCCATCAGAAAGCAGAGCTACATGACAAGTGTTTGGTTTTAAGAGGAACAAGACAAGTGTTTGGTTTTAAGAGGAACAAGGACATCTTAATTTGAGCTTTTGCTTGCATTATTCAAGACTCTGTCTTGCCCAGGTCTCCATCCCACCAGTGTCTCTGCACCATCGGGACCAGAGAAAATTTCAAGGAGCCACCTGGAGAACATCACTGGTATTTAAGTGCTAACTTCGCACCTACAGAGGCAGAAATGTGCTTCAGCATGATCTGAGGGTGGCAACTAAAGGAGACCCAGTGAGCAGCATTGTGACTGAACATCCCTTGCATAGTATGGCCATTGACCTTCTTCACCTAATTCCCAAAGGCACCTTTGGTATAGAGCGCCTGGCAATCACAGAATAAGAAAATCCAATGGGAAAAGCCTGCCCAGACATGGGGCTTCGGCCTGACACTGGAGAATCAAAGCAGAGTTGTTACAGAAGGATTCTGATCCATTTCCAGCAAAAGGGGGATGAGCTGTGCCCCCACACCAGACTCACCTGTTCATATGCACCATAGGAGAGCCAAGATCAAACGATTTACAAACACTTCACTTTAAAAAAAAAAAAAAAGAACCAAAAAAACCCCGACATAAAGCCTCCTGGCTGTGTGGCACTGTAAAGAGAAAACTGATCCCTCGGCTTCTCAGGTGAGCTAGGAAAGGTCGAGGACCCAAGGAACCCATAGATGGTGGTGATGCACTGGCACAGGCTGCCCAGAGAAGTTGTGGCTGCCCCATCCCTGGAGGTGTTCAGGGCCAGGCTGGACGGAGCACCCTGGTCTGGTGGAAGGGGGCCCATTGCAGGAGGTTGGAACTGGATGAACTTTAAGGTCCCTTCTAACCCAGGCCATCCCGTGACGCCCGGGTAACGCTCCAGCCACAAGGCGGGCTGGGGGGTGCGTCGAGCTCTGTGAAGGAGGAGAAGGAAGGCAGCAAAGCCAAGTAAGCCCCTTTCCCTCCGGCGCGCCAAGAAGCCCAGAGCTTTACTCACGAGCGAGGCGTCCCCAGAAGCCCGAATTCCCGGGTTTTCCTCCTCTCCTCCCCTCCCTCCCTCCCTCGCACCTTCCCCGCCGCTCCCAGTCCGGGTCCGTCCCCGCCCTCACGCCCCGGGCCCGCCGAGGCATCGCGAGACCCCTCACGCCGCGAGACCCGCGCGGGGCGCGCGCGGGCGCCACGTGACGGCCGCCGGAGGGGCCGCACGCGCGTGCGTGAGTGCGTCGGGGGCCGCTCCACCTGTCACGGGCCCGGGGAGGGGGGCGGGACGGGCCGAACCAACCGGGGGGAACGGCAGGGGGAAAGAGGAACCCCCCCAGAGCCCCGGCGTTAACGCGCCGCCCGACCGCCACCGCCGCCGCCTCGGAGCCACGCTGGTCAGCACCGTCCGTGCTCCCCGAAGACGTTATTAGCTTCTTGTGCCAAGCGCGCCGCGCCCAAGGCAGGGTGGGGCAGAGCGCGACGCGCGGCTGGCCCCCGCCCCGCCGCTGGAGCATGGCCCTTTCCTTCAGCGGCGTCCACTCCCCCAGCCCGGAGCCCCCGTTACGCAACTACACCCCAGCCCCTCCTCCTCCCCCTCCCACCCCGCCGCCCGCCACTGCCGACACCTCCCCCACGGTCCCCGCCGCCCGCTTTTAAAGGCGCACCCCAACCTGCTGGCGCCCGCTAATCGCAAAGCTCGTCTGACCGACTGCGCACCCGACCTATCGGAGACCGTGGATCCGTGAAACCCCGCCCCCTCCCTTAGCCGCCGGCCAATTGGGTGAGGCCGTCGAGGGGGGGATTGGGAGGGGGCGGGCGGCGCGCGCCAACCGCCCCGCAGAGCGCAGCGGCGGCAGAGCGCTGTGACTGACGTAAGTCAACAAAGGTCACGTGGAGAGCGGCGGCAGCGCTGATTGGCCGGGGGGTGCGGCGCGCGCTGGGGGGGCGGGGCGGCGCCGTGAAGGGGGAGGGGGGGGGGACTGGCGGCGGCGGCGCGCGCGGGGTCCGCGGGGTGACACAATCGCAACAACTTTGGGCAGCGGCGCCGCCGAAGTTTGTCCGGGCGGCAAAACACGCCCCGGGCCGCGCGGGCAGGGCCGTCCCCCCTTTCCCGTGCTCCCCGACACCCCAGCTACCTCTCCCCTGCCCGCCGCCGAGGGGCTGAGCGGCGATGTAAACACCGCTCCGCCGCCATCCGCAGCCGCCGCCTCCTCCTCCTCCCCCGACTCTCCAGCGCTGGGGCTCCCTCCCCCCTCCCCTCCCTCCCTCCCTCCCTCCTCCTCCGAGCAGCGGGGCTTCCCCCCGCCTCCCTCCCTCCCTCTCCCCTCCCCTCCCTCCCTCCCTCCCCCTCCCTGCCGGCTGTTGTTGTTGTAATAAAAGTTGTGGTGTGTGTGTGTGTCGGGCACCCCGCCCCGCCCGGCGCTGGGGGGTGTTGGGGGCGCGCAGGGAGGGGGGGGTGCGATCCGCGAGTTAATTACGCTGCGTTTCCATGAAATCGTGCGGAGTGTCGCTCGCCGCCGCCGCCTCTGCTGCTCCTTTCGGGGATGAGGAAAAGAAAATGGCGGCGGGGAAAGCGAGCGGCCAGAGCGAGGAGGACTTCGCCAGCTTGACAGCCCAGGAGAGAGAAGCCCTCTCCGGCCTTGACAGGTACCCGCTCCCCACTCCGCCCCGGCCGCCTCCGTGTCCCGGCTCGGCCCGCGCCCCCTCCCCGTGTGTCCCCCCCGCTCCCCTGCCCGCGGCTCCCCATGTTGCCGCTCCCGGGCCCCGCGCTCTGCCCTCGCCCGCCCGCCGCGCCGACTCTCCGCTAACGCCGGTGCCTCTCTCTCTCTCTCACTCTCTCTCTCTCCCCTCCCTCCCGCCCCGCTCCCCTCCTCGCAGCCGGCTCTTCGGATTTCTGAGGCTTCATGAAGATGGCGCCAGAACGAAGGCCTTGCTGTTAAAGGTAAGCGCGAGGGTGGATGTGGAGC